TACGAAAAGCAGAAAGAAGAGATAACAGTCATTAAAATTTGACCCCTGTAGTAGTTATAATTTTTACTATGGAAGTTGCACCAGCCTGGGTACGAGTTTTTTTGTTTGTATACATACTTATTATTTTTAATTGGTAATTATGTTGCTATGTCTAAATATCGCTACTTTTTGAATTTTAGGATTTATTGTAACATTCCGTCTTTACTCGCCAATATTTGACGGGGTAAGATAAACATATAAAAGTTTCCATCTTGCCCCGTTTTCAAAAGTCATACAAATGGTCTCATGTTCTCAAACTGTACCTGAAAAAATGTTTTGTTTTGTTACAGCCATTATATTAATTGTCAGCGGCACAATTTCAGCTAATATTATCTAAAAGTATTTATTTTAATTTTTGTATATTATAAGAGAGGCAAAAAGAGCAAGCGGGTCACCTGATGGCTAAGTGGTTACACCGCTGCCCATAGACACAAGAAACAACAGGAGTGTTATTTGTGCGTTGCCTTCTCATAAGGTATAGAAACAGGATTCGTAGGAATGGGAGTAGGAACTTAAAGAAAGGGGAAAGACCACCAGACACTCGTTAGTAAATGCAACATCACAGCTCCTAGAACAATGCAACGTCACATCGGTTTATCTAGCAAACGTCAACATTCGGATGGCCTTAAGAAAAAGGGAAAAGGAACGGGCAACATGGCAGCCACTAAGAAGCTAACCACTTCACGCTGATTTTCTGTGAGAGGGTAGTATCGCACCGGTCGACCCTGCTCATTTATGTGTTACAGTGAGCTGTAGACGTGGATCTACTACCAATTTTTTTTATTAATGTTTAGATAAAATTTTTTTAGAAGTTTTTCTATGTTTTTAGTTGTGGCATTTTTCTAAGATCTTATTAATTGGTTAGCTGTTTAATTTTGAAATATTTAATTTTTTATGTTTTGTGCTACATATTTTGTCGACGAAAATGGTAAAAGGTACATGTACGTAATTGTGTTTAAAATTATCTTGGCGTTAACATTAAAAAATTATATGATTGATATCTTTCATTTTCTGTATATTCTTATCCAAGTAAAGTGAAATATTTGACAACCTCTAGTTCAATCTTTCCCCGGCGGGGCAAGATTGAAATATAATAAACAAATAAGTTGTGTTATCTATGTTATTTGAAGGAATTTTGATATTATAGACAGTTCTGAAGTGTCAGGACAATTAAAATTGTAGCCTACTGACCGTCAATATCGTCTGACATTTATTTGAACGATTTTAGAAACTACTTCCATCTTTCCCCCTGTTTTTTCTTTCGATAAAAACATTGTAGTTATTTTTTTTTTTGCTTTCGAATAAATATAGCAGGGATTTATCGACATGACATAAAAAAGGCCCTTTGTACTTTATTCACTATAGATATAATTTTAGCTTAAATTAATATGTACTGTATTACAAGACGTCAAACACAACACTGCTCATCTCATCAAAAAACCGTTCGATCTTCCCCCCTCTCTCACCCTACATGTAATTAAAATAAAATTACAATTATTTAATACCTTCATTTTTTATTATCAGGAAAAACATATTCGTTATTAAGTTTGTGTAATAACCGTGTTTCTGCATGTTCACAGTCTCTTATATGCATCTACTATATATTATGTCCATGTAGAAATATTTTCTTGGTATTGTATATTTTTTGTTAAAAATACTTTCGCATTCCTTTGATTAAATAACCACTTATATGTATTAGGCCATCTAAAAATATAAAACATATTAATAATAATGCAATTATATTAAGAGTAAACACGAACGGTGAAATTTTGATTAATTGTACCTGGATTTTTATTTTCTCTCATTTGAACTGTTCTAGTTTCCTCTTGCAGTAGTTAAAGAGCAGATCTGAAAGTAGTCCCCTTAATCTGAGACTAATGTTATCCTATCTCACCAACAGCCGGAACAATATCTTTTAAAGTATTTTTCACTTCAATAGTAGAGCGAAGGGGGATGTTAGCTGTCATATATCATTTAGCTATGACGTTTTCTATGTCTAATATTTTTTCTATAAAGATTACTGCCCGACTGCGACAGAGCTTGCAAGGCGACGGAGCATGCACGCTCGCGCGAATTAATTTAATTTCGGGGAAAAATTATATTTTCTCTTATAAAACGGAGAATAAAAATAAAACTCTCAATTAAAAATATTAATATTTTTAAGATCTTTCTTTTAATGCAATAACTATTTAAAAAACTTGTGCCCTTTTGGAGAAATTTTGCAAAATATGACAATGATAGGTACTCTTTGGGGATTTTTTTTTCTAATAAGGGCTTGACAAAAATACAGTTTTGATCAACTAAAAACATTTATTAAATCCTCTTCCGTTGCCCTGTATTTTTTCTTTGTGGATTAAATGAATAGTTATTGTGATTTTTTTACTTAAATATCCAAGAATTTAGGCATTTCAACCGCACTTAAAGCCTTAAAGTAAATTCGAGTAATTTTGGTGCAACCTTTCTAATGTATGGGAATTCATCCAATAGGTTTCTCAGACTTGAGCCAAAATTCTCGATATTGCCTTAAATCAGGTGTCTCACTCCGCGCTTTGGGCATGAAAATATACCTGCGCTGCGCGGTCCACTACAAGAAGCTAATTCCGCGAGGATTTCACGCGCGCGCTCGAGCTCGAGCTGACGAGCGCCTTACGTTAACAAAAAAGTATTTTTCTCTTATAAGTATTTAGGCACTTTTGATATTTATTTTTGAGTTTTTATTCAAGTATGGCCACTCAAAAATCCAAAAGGTACTGCATAGCATGCGATTGCTTAAATAACAATAGGAATGTCAACTTTTCATTCTTTACTGTTCCTAAGAATACCGAATGCTTATATATTATTATTTATAGGTAGATCTAGATTATTAGGTACTTAGTTACTGACGCCATAGTTACAAATTTATTATTTGATTAGTGACCCGACCACAGCTTCGCAGTTTTCGATTTTTTCGCGTATAATGCCAATGACCTTAAAAATACGTTCAGTGTAAGTAGACCTCCCAGTACTATTGACTGCCTACTAATGCAAGATCTATATAATGGGTGGAAGGTTAACACTTGGTGGATAAAAGAAAGCGATTGAAAGCAGGAGCACTTCTCATTGCCACTCTTTCATTAATAATGAAGTCACGTGTCGTATGTTTGTAAATAGCAAAAAATATGAAGCAGATAAGTGTCGGCTCCGTGGTGCAGTGGCTTAGTAATGAGTTGCAGCGCTTAGGGCTGCGGGTTCGAATCCCAGACAAAATAATTGTTCTGAGTCTGTTCTATGTATGTAAACTGTCCCTGCGATACAGGAGAAAATCCTAGTGTGGAGGTAACGTTTTTTAAAAAGAGACAAATAATGAAATTAAAAATTTTGAACAACCGTCTTCAATATTAATACGCATTATTAAGGATAACTACAAAAGTACTGGTTTAGATCTTGATCTAATTTATATGGGTTGTATAAATTATAAGCACCAGCCTTCAAATAAAAATAGAATCATCAAAATCGGTTCATATAGAAAAGTTCTGAGGTATCACACATAAAAAATACAGTCGAATTGAGTATCTCCTTCTTTTTTGAAGTCGATTAAAAAGGGTAAGTAGATAAATTATCTGAGTTTCAAAGACGTTCACGCTGTTATAATCTTAATTTTTCTCGATGTTTCATATTCATCTTCTTCACATTTAACAATAATATTCTTATTATCAAATTAACCTCCGTGTATTGTACTACCAATTAATATCTAAGGCTTGAATATGTTTTCTCACTAAACCTAACCCTACAGTAGGAGCGGCCATTACAAGGGCGCGTAACGGGCTAAGTCATACAGACTCTCGCACGCGGACGTAACGTGCATTATGATTTAATACGCGTGCCGCATTAATTTTTTTCGACGATTTAATCTGTAGGCTAATTAAACAGAGGTCGCTTCCGAGGTGTGCAAAGTATTATGAACATTTGGATCGTTGTAACTAGGTTTAAACTCGCAAATTTGCTATCAGAGAGTGATCCTTCTGTTTTAGTACTATTCTTAATTCTGTGCTTAAATAAACAAAAACTTAAAAAGTTACATAATATAAAGTATGAAATTCCCGCGAAAAATGCTTCATATAGGCGCCCACTGTGGCGCTAGCATACACTCAAAGACGCGTATTACTTTTTTAGTTTGAATATAGCATTCCTCTCTCGGTAGAGTAATTGTGTTCTGTGGTAAGGAATTATTAAAAAAAAACCGGGTTCCTCCTGTGGATAACGATTCGTATAGAGTGCTAGACGACTAAGGGCTTGTATCACTGACCTCTATATATATAGAGGTCAGTGGCTTATATGCACTACGCGTTTACCCGCAATATAAAAAATATATACGTAACATATATCACTCCGGTTACTCGGAGGGCTGCGGCCCGAACATGGGTATGCAACTTAGAACATTATTTTACGAACAAAATGATACGTTTTGTGCTTCCATCTACATTCCGAAGCGCTAGGCTAGACTTACTCCAATCTCACTAGAGGGCACTTATATATTAAGTCTATGCATACGCAATAATCCACGCGCACTACGTATTCAGTAGTGGTCACTGGTTACGCTTAAATTGTTATTAGTATTTATTGAACATTATTTATTTTTAGAAAATACTATTTTATCTGTGTTTTCAGACGATGAAAAACTGCTAAAATATTATTAGAATACGAAGGTAAATTTCACGCACGTTACCCGCGTAGTGCGTGTAGTGCGTGTGAGGCCGAAGTGCACCGTGTGCGCCATAAAATTATCATTTCAACTTTCAACTTTGCGACGACATGTGACAAACTACCAAGAAACGTAAATCAAACAAATTCACAACTGCATTTCGTTATTTGGAAAAAGTTACTCCAAAATGTATCTAAATGGAGTAAATAACTATTTTCATTTTTCAAAAAACAATACTTTAATAAACAGTAGCGTCTCGCCTCATTTGGTAAATTAAAACTCACCTAAATATTAATGATATGGAGGGTAATAATTTCCGGGTGGGGAAGATATCCATTACATACTGATTACAATTTTGACTTCCATGATGAATAGGGATGGCTGCTGATGTTGATGTCCTGGGTGGTGTTGGTTGTGTGACTGGTGCTCTTGCCCGATTAATTGTGTTATAAGATATATTCTGTGTGCCTGCACATAAAAATATTTATACAGCTTTGACTATGTTATATCACTATAATGATAATGTTTTAGCTACATGAGTTTACTGTGCCATTAATACTACAGTTACAAATTCTAGCCACTCCACAACCTCTCTTTCACATTTGATATCTATTCTTTAAACTCCTTTGTCCTCAGTACAGGTGCAATTTTAATAACATTAATTACTATATAATTAAAAATTAAACATTTTGTACAGCCGAGTTCAACATAAGTTATTTAGAATAACTCAAAAACTATTGGTCTGACATTGAACAAATTCATACGGAACCACACGAGAACTATCAGATTTCAAATACAATAAGAATCATAGAAATCGGTTCACCCAGTAAAAAGTTATGAGGTAACACACATAAAAAACATACAGTCGAATTGAGTAGTCTTCTTTTTGGAAATCGGCAGAAAAGTATTAATACCACTAAAAAACAACTTACAACTTGATGCTGTATGGGGCTTGTTATAATTAGTCCTAGGTGGTATAGATATTTGATATGAAGTGTAGGGTGCTGATGGAGACGTTATTTGACTCCCAGATGTAGTGGATGTGATAACATTCACTGCCGAGTATGTTCTGGCTGCTACATTGGTACTAGAATATGGAACTGTACCAGCCATAGAAACTGTAGGGAAACTATTTGCCTTCTGACCATTAACATAACCGCTAAAGCCATTCGCAGCTGTATTGTTGCGTTTTGTTTGTGAACTTATTCTGCTTATTTCTCTGTTTAGATTACTGAATGTGGTTTATCGCAGCTTGTATTAGCTGCAATGAGAAAGATTACTCGGTAAGTTTTACTTAAAGAATTGCCAATTATTATAAATATAAATTACTTAAATTTAAGATAAATATTAACTTCTAAACCAGAAGTACACAATAACTTACAGTTGCGTAAAAGACTAACTAATGACTGTAAAACATCTGAAGGTGATGGCTGGTTAGATCTCCTGTTTAGCGCTGACAAAGCTTACAAAAATGACGGCGTGTGGTACTTGCAATCTGCAATATAAATATTAAAGTTGTTGCATTTGAAATTGAGGTCTTTTGACATTTTCAATAAATGAAAAAAATTGCCTCAAGGTCAACAACGTAAATACTTACAGACTTAATTAAACCTCTTGTATTTCCAAGACAACACTCCATAACTTTTAAAAGAAGTTGTTTTGGCACTGTTGACATTTCCTTAAAAATATAGACCAATTAGTAAGGATGTTTATTCAAAATACTATAAAGTAAATAAAAATAGTCAATATTTACTGAGCTAAATGGTGTCCTAGTTCAGTTGTGATAAATTATTACTGATTTGTTACTTTGGTTCACCCTGAAAAACAAACAATATATTTTATATTTATTTTTTGGGTTTAAAATGAAATGAAGTTATTTAATTTGAAACAATAAGCATAACGTATAATAATACTAACCTGTGTATACAAGTGCAGTGGTCCGTGTCACAGCTTCCGTGTCACAGTTGCTGATAGAACAGTTGGAGGTGCTGGAAGAGGTGTTGGATTGGTATGGAAGGCATCATGGGTATAGCTGGAATCGTCGGCGGTGCAGGAAATGCAGGTCGAGAGGATGGGGAGGATGTTCGACATTGAAACAGGCGTTGTATATGAATCCTTAAGAAACATAGCAATTTGAAGAATAGGCTCTACATTTGCTGAAGCTGACATTGCAGTATGGCGTTCTGCAAGTACTCAAGGTATTTGGCCTGTGGTAAGGAATAAATTTTCTTCTTCCCTTGCAACCAGTTCTATTGTGATAGTCGTGGCAAAATTTTAGAATTTTATTTATTCAAAACGTCAAGTTCATAACGAAATTTACATTTGGTATTTTTAGAACATATACCCCCATACATAATTACGACATATTTGCTTAGGTTGGTCACTGGTTTGCTCCTTTTTTGTTTCTGTCTGCGATTCAAATGGCGGCCGAAGCTGTGCGCGGGTAGCGAAGGCTGACGGCCATATTGATTGCTACTATTGCTCATTGACTACGAATTCTCATTATTAGGGTCTTATGTTAATACACGGAGTGATTAGTTTCTATATTACATCTATTGCCAAAATTATATGCCACAAGATAATAGTATATAGTTATCTGTGGCGTTATGGGGGGTAGCTCCATAGTTTGGGGGATTAGTACTGCGGGCAAAAGATTTTCTGGTATCAGAGGCTGATGTCAGCATTGGTATTGCTGGAGTAGGCGTTGGTATGGATGGGTATGGAAGGCATTACTGCCATCATTGTATTGCTGGAGTGGGCGGCGATGCAGGAGGTGCAGGTCGAGTAGATGGGAAAAGTGTTACTGCGGGCGGAAGAGGTGCTGGTGCCAGAGGCTGACGTCAGCATTGAAATAGGTGTTGCAAAAGAGTCCTTAATAAACATAGCACTTTGAGGAAGAACCTCTACATTTGCTGAAGCTGATATTGTAGTATGGCGTTCTGTGAGTACTCGAAGTATTTGACCAGTAGTAAGGAATAAATTTTCATCTTCCCATGCAACCAGTTCTATTCTGATAATCATGGCAAAATTTTAGAATTTTATTCATTTCCCAACGTCAAGTTCATAACGAAATTTACATTTGGCATTTTTAGAACAGATTCATACAACCCCCATACATCATAATACGACATATTTGCTTAGGTTGGTCACTGGTTTGATCCTTTTTGTTTCTGTCTGAGATTCAAATGGCGGCCGAAGCTGTGCGCGGGTAGTGAAGGCTGACGGCCATTTTGATGGCTACTATTGTTCATTGACTACGAATTCCCATAAGTAGGGTTTTATGTTATTACACGGAGTGATTGTTTCTATAATATATCTATTGTCAAAGTGATATGCCACACGAAAATAAAAATAAAAACATTGTTACCTGCAGACATGTGACAGATGAGTAAGTGGAATATTTCATTACTAACATCGACGTATAAAAAAGGCGGACTAAATTCAGAAAGGACTGACTGATGCAGCGATACAATTGCACTGCACTGCAATTGCAATGGCGGCGGTGCAAGTATCACAGACTAATATGAATATATGATGCTTACCTATGCAAGTATGTTTGCGTTATGTTTCTGACCAGTATATAGTAATCTGTGGCGTTATGGAGGGTAGCTCCATAGTTTAGGGGATTTAGTACTGCGGGCGAAAGAGGTGCTGGTGCCAGAGAGGCTGATGTTAGCATTGGTATTGCTGTAGTAGGCGTTGCATAAGTATGGATAGGTATGGAAGGCATTACTGCCATCATTGCTATTGCTGGAGTTGACGGCGGTGCAGGAAGTGCAGGTCGAGAAGATGGGGGAAGTGGTACTGCGGGCGGAAGAGGTGCTGGTGCCAGATGCTGACGTCGGCATTGAAATAGGCGTTGCATAGCAGTCCTTCATAAATATAGCACTTTGAGAAATAGCCTCTACATTTGCTGAAGCTGACTTTGCAGTATGGTGTTCTGCAAGTCCTCAAAGTATTTGGCCTGTGGTAAGGAATAAATTTTCTTCTTCCCTTGCAACCAGTTCTATTCTAATAGACTTGGCAAAATTTTAGAATTCTTTCATTTCTTCAACTTCAAGTTCATGACGAAATTTAAATTGAGCAGTTTTTGTACATGCCCCCAATACATAATTACGACATATTTGATTAGGTTGGTCACTGGTTTGCTCCTTTTCTGTTCTATCTGCGATTCCGATGGCGGCCGATGCGCTGTAGCGGAGGCTGACGGCCATTTTCGCCCCGAATGCTCATTGAATATGAATTCCTAAAAACAGGGTCTTATGTAGTACATATAGTTATTAATTTCAGTTTTCTTTTTATATAGGATAAGGGTGACAAACGAGCACACAGTCCACCTGATGGTAAGTGGTTGCTGCAGCACATAGACATCTACATCTATTCTCTATTACAAATCAAAATGCAGATGCGTTGTCACCCGTGAGGGCTAAGATGGAATACCCCATTTCCATTAAAAAAGGGTCTCTGGTTCTCTACACTCAACATACGAAACACAGCAGCGTTAAGCTGCTATCTGTGAGAGCGTGGTACTTCCCCGGTCGAGCCGACCCATTCGTGCTACAACTATACTACTAATATAGCTGCAGCATGGCATTACCACGCACACAAGATAAAAAGCAAGCAAACTGCAGACCTGCAGACTTAATGGTGACAGGTAATTTAATGAAATATTTTACTTACCTGAACTTATAGCAACCATGAAAAATACTGGACTTAATGACTGAATCTAAAAACTTTAATTTTAAAACCGTCAAAATAAATATGCCTTTTTATTAGAGAAATCGTTAATGAAAAAAAAGACACAAACGAAATGGGCAAAACCGTCCCATGTAGGCAGGTGCTACTTCCGTAGTTTAAAATATATGTACGAAAAGCAGTGTTGCTGCTAAAAATCTGAGCTGCCGTATGTCAACAGTGGTTTGCTGTTTTTTAAGGAAAAAATTACTAAATTGCCATATTTCATTATTTATTTTAAAAATGTGTATTGCTCATTTGTTTCTCAACCGGTAAAGGTTTCTTTTTTATGTTGGTAGTTTGTCACATATGGTCGCAAAGTTGAAAGTTGAACGATAATTTTTTATCACACACCGTCCACTTAGTCGTCTAGCACTCTTATCGATACGGATCGTTATACACAGGAGGAATCCAGTTTTTGAATAAATCCTCACCCTCGACCTTTGGTCAACACTTCTGTTTTATGTTTCCCTTTTTTTTATTTTAGCAAAGGGTCTTTAGAATCAGAGTCACACTCAATCATATTCGATTATTAAACATAATTTAAAACAGAATATGGAATTGTTTCGCAACCGTAACGTAATTTGGTAAGATAAATCACAGAATTAAAGACAGACTTACAGTTGCGTAAAACATGAGAGAAAACATCTGGCCGCCGAGCTTCAGCACGTCGAGCAAGTATTGCAAGACAACAAGCTTCGGGTGCTGCGCCGACGTCACAGTGACCGAATGAAGCCGGCCACAGTGGAGCGTGTGCCTTCTGTACTACCCTATGTCAGAGGAGTCACCGACAAAGTTGGCTACATCTTAAAGCGAGCTTCCATTAAAACATACTACAAACCGCCGAAGAAGATCAGTCAATTTTTACCATCCGTGAAGTGTCATATCCCTCTACAACGTGCTGGAGTGTACAAGCTGGATTGTGAATGTGGTCTCTCTTACATAGGACAAACTTAAAGATAAAACCCGCGTGAAAGAACATATAGTTGACTTGAAACACCGACGTTCCGGTAAGTCGGAACGTCAGTGTTTCAAGTCGACAGTTTCAGAACGACAGTGTGTGAACATGTGCAAGATCGTCCCAACTATTACATTAGATTTGATAGACCACAAATCCTCGCAAAAGAACACCGATTCCTACCAAGGATGATTCGCGAGGCTATTGAAATTAATAGAATCAGGTGTTACTTTGCGAAAATCCATTAAATAAAAGCTTTAAAAAAATTTTTTTTTTAATTTTTGAAAAAATTTAAAAATTTTAAATTTTTTAAAAGCTCTTTTAGCTATTGAAATTAAAAAAAAACATCCTAATAATACAGAAGATGGATGGGTGCTGCCATCTGCTTGGGATCCTATAATAAATAAAATTAAATACAAAC